GGATCATTTCATCCCAGCTCCTCTGATGGGTAATCAGCTGATCAAATCTAGAGCAGTCAACCTAATTCAGTCATTACAGATGGCCTAAATCAATCAGCTTTCTTAATGCCTGGAGAGGAGTGAGGTATGGGAACTTGGTCAATTACTCAGTAATTAACAACACAAACTCTGCAATGATAAGTTCACTCATGCACAATCACTGAGCTATGTAGTTGTATTCATTCTCTGGAAATAAATAAAGCAGCATTTTTTGGACTTGTTTTTACAGGCCATTAAACGCTGGGCAGAAAAATATGCATCTCCTACTCCTTTTAGTATATGAGAAGCAAAAATAGAACTTTTAAAAATAAGAACTTCCCTTTGCTGAGTTCATATTGCAAGCCAACTGCCAGTTGTATATTTCTCCTGAGACGGGTACTATTAGTGTTCACCTATGAAGAGGTCACTGAGGCTCAGAAAGGTTAAGCAGCCTGCACAGGATCACAGAGCAGGTAGGTAGTTGAACTAGAATATTGGATCTGTCTACCTAATGCTAGGGTCTGTGCCTTTTTTGGTTCACCATGGTGGTTTTCAAACAGCTGATCTGCACCAACGTCACAATTCAGAGAGATGGGACATGATGGGGATGCCTAAGAAATTCAGAGAAGGAATAAACAAGAATGAAAGCCCAGGTGGCATCTGTGTTTGGAGGAAGGGACTGCAGAAATGCAAAAGATAACTCATTCTTCTCTATAAAGCTGTGGCTGTTTGGATGGAATGTCAAAAGTATAGTGAAGACCTCAGGAAGCTGGAGATGCCAGGACTGTGGAAAGTCTGCCAACAAAAGCTGCAGCTCAATAGTGAAGCCAGCCCCAGAGAGAAACTCTATGGTCTACAATCAGCAATGCTGTAGGGGCCGGGCTTGCTGAGCACTCTGGAACTCAGATCTCACTACCATGTGTCCCAGATGCTGGATAAAGGGCTGCAGGATAGAATATTTGTCCTGCTAGGTTTTAATCTTCTTTTGGTCCAATTATTTTCTATTCTCCAATTCTCCCCTTTTGGAATAGAAATGTGTACACTGTGCCACTATACCCTGGGATTATGTGACTTGTTTTTTACTTGTCTGAAGGCTCAGAAAAGTCTTGGATTTGAGCTTTTAAAAAACACTGAAACTATGAAGAATTTGTGGAAGGGATTGTTACATTACTTGTTATATGCAGGATAGCTGTATTGTTAGGCCAAATTATGAACTTATTATTGTCTTTATTTGCAGATTAAATACAACTTAAGGAGATGTGCTTTGGCATCAAGTTGCCAGGGTAAGGGATGTGGTGACTAGGGTGAAGTGTCAGCTTGATTGGCTTGGGATCCACCCAGTGGATAGATGCAGCACACTTCTGAGTGTGTCTGGATGGACAGAGGCATAAACAAGGCCCACGTCTGATCCCTGACTTCTTTTACTTGAACACTACCCACCTGCTGTGCTTCCTGACCACTGTGAACCTAGCAGCTTTCTTCACCATGCCCTTCTGCCTTGATGTTTCTGTCTTAGAGCCTACTGACCTTGGACTGAATCCCCTAAAACTAAGAGCCTAATTAAATCTTTCCTCCTTTAAATTGTGGGTGTCAGATATTGTGTCTCAGTGTCAAGAAAACTGACTCCTTCTCTGGTCCCAAACTCCAACTGCAATGGGGCAAGAAGAGTGGCTCTAAAAAGAGCCATGACCCTTCTAAAAAGCCAAGGCACTAATGAGAAGCTCATCGAATAGTCCTTAACCAAATGATTTTTGCCAACGGTTCTGCTTCTACCTTCTTGACTATTATTCAACCAGCATTGTCATATAGTTACTCCTCTGATTTCCCCCTTGCAAACTCACAAACTATGTGAGTCTTTTTAATTCCAGGCTCAAAACACTCTCTGAGGCATGCTCCCAGAGCGATTCCCATTCTGTGCCCACTTGAAAAGGAGGCAAGCTCTTCAAAAACTGGAAACTATCATAGTGTTGTGTTAAAAAAATACAATGCCTTGGAAACATATAGCACTTCGAGGTTTGCAATTTTTTAAAAATTTTTAATGGTACTAGAGACTGAACCCAGAGTCTTTGCACTGACCTACATCCCAAGCCCCTGCCCCCTACTTTTTGAGACAGTCTCACTAAATTGCTAAGTTGCTGTCTTGGTTACTTTTCTCTTGTTGCTGAGACAAAATACCCAACATCCAAAGTTAAAGGGAGAAAAGTTTATTTAGCTCACAGCTTGTGGATGCTTCAGTCCATAATCAGCTGGCTCCAAGGGCAGAGTGGCATGGCAGGGGGGCAACAGTTCATGGTAGCAGAAGACAGCAAAAGCAATGAGAGAGAGAGAGAGACACAGAGACAGAGACAGAGAGACAGAGAGAGAAAGAGAAAGAAAGAGAGAGAGAGAGAGAGAGAAACCTCTTTCTGTCCCTTATATGGTATGCAGGCTACCTGCCCTAGGGTGGGTGCTGCACTCACACCATTAATCCCAGATTTGGACCATGAATCAATCACAAACTCTAGGCTCAACTGCCTCTGAAAAGTCCCCCCCTACGGCCCCCGCTCAACTACATGAGGCTTGAGGGGGATGTCCAGACACAAAGCGTAACAGTTGCCCAGGCTGGGCTCAAACTTGTGATCCTCCTGCCTCAATCTCCTAGAGTGGTGGGATTACAGGCATGTTTCACCATGTCCAACTGACAGTGCATTTTTACTCAGAAAATTGTGGTTAATCCCCATAACAATAGTTTTGGTTTTTGGTATTTGTTTTCAAAATGAGTAAAATGAGGCTCTGAGAGCCAATGTGACTTACCCAAGGTCTCAGAGTGAGCACGGGGCAGAGTGGGAACTGGACCCTGAGTATCCTGCTTTTACAGGCTAGTGCTTTTTCTACTACTTAACATCATCACCACCATTCTTATTTCTGACAGGGGGAATGGTGACTTGTAATATGTACAATGCTGCCTTCTTAAAATCTCCAGCCAAGCATGTCCATCTGACTTCTGATTATTGTCACTGAAGCCCATATTCTGAATGACTGCCCTCGCCATTCCATCTCCTAAATTGTCTGTGGCTCCAGGCCACCGAGATCCTCCCTCCTCCGCTGAGTTGGCTGCCTAAGGCAGGGGGCCTCCCCAAACACTAGCATGGTGCAGGTAGCCCCTGCTCTGCCTTTTGTCCCTCCTTCTCCCAGGCTCCCCAAATGGAGCACAACTGTACTTTAATCTCTCTTTACTCTTCTGCCAATTTGCCCAGGCTGCCCCAGATGCCTCCTTACTTTAAGCAAATGCTTTTTCATTGCTCTGGGAATAGCCTAATCCTTTCCTCCTCTTTAACATGTTAATGTTCTGATTTACAGCAGCAGTGGTAGACAGAAAAAAAAAAACCAAAACGGTAAACAAAGACATTCATTCTGTTTCACATTGTGAAGGGTGCAGGAGGGCTAGTGCTGATGTTTTATTACTGGATGTGAGGGTGCCCTCTTGGAGAAAGTTCTGCGTGCTGTGCACATACACTATGTGTGGCCATCTTCTTTATGCATTGCTGGACTTCAATAAACAATCCCACACAGGGCACTAGCAGTCTTGTGGGAGAGAACTACAAGAATTGAAGCAAAGGGGGATGACTTTCCTATTACTCTCATCTTCAACTTGGGTCAGTACCTGGTATACAGCAGGTGCTCAGAAGCACCTCTGGGTGAAGGGATCACCTAATCAAGTGATTTATAAGAGAAAATAAACTTCTTCTCGAGTGACCATTTAGAACAGCACTGTTGGTAACAGCCCAAAATTGGAGACAACAAAAATGCCTCTCACTTGGTTAATGGTTGAACAAATAGCACATGGGTACCAAGAAACACTGCTCATCAACAAAAATGTAACAACTTGTGTGGATCTCAAGGGCATTACATAGACTGTGAAAAAAAAAGCCAACCTCAGGTCATGCATTGTATGGTTTCATTTATATAACAATCTCAAAACTATAAAATTATAGAACTTAATGGTTGCTAAGGATTGGGGATGGTGAGAAAAGGATGACAGGTGCGACTATAAAGTGGTAGCATGAGGAAGGTCTTGGCAGTGACCAAACCGTTGTGTATCTGTGTACTTTAATGGATCTGCTGTTCTGATGTCCTGGTTATGATGAGGCACTGTAGTTACATATGATGTAGCTACTGGAGGAAACTAGGTTTAGGGTACATGGGACTACTCCTGCAACTTCCTAGGAATTATGTAATTATAAAAAGTTATATTTTTTAAAAAGCTTATTTTCTGAGGCCACTCCTACCTTCTCCTTGACTGTGTCTGTATGTCACAATAACTTTCACATTTAATGCTTTACAATTTCAAAATGCTTCCACGCAGATTAAAGATCACTCTTCAGAATCACAACAGCTCAGTAATGTAACTGCTCGTACCTCCATTTTACAGATAAAGACACCAAAGCTCAGTGGTTCACTGAAGGGCACATAGGGTATCTGGCAAAGTTAGTCCTTAAACCTGATTCAATAAAATCTACAGATTTTAGCTTTTTCAACTGCAAAATAAGGGGATATAGCTAAGATACAGCCTCTAGATGTGTGTTCAGTTATAACACGCATGCATACTTCTCGTACCCTGGCTTCCCTACATCTGAGTTACCATGGGTCGGGGGTTGGTGAGTTAGAGACCAGACTCCAAGTCACTAATGGAGCTACTGAGGAGGTTCACTCATCATTCTACTGTCCAGAAGAGTCCATGCTACATAGCTAGTGGCATTTGAATGGAAACATTAGAATGCCCAAATTTCCATTCCTTCAAGGCTTGCAATAGCTGGGATGTGAATCCCAGTGGGCTCATGGATTCATATGTTTGTAGAATGCCTGGTTCTTGGTTGGTTTCTGCTCCTCTGCCTCTATTTGCCCATATCCTATCTTCTGGGCTGCATCCCATCACAATCCATTAAACCTGACCACTGACAATACTCTATACACCAAGGAAGCAAGCTATGAAAATGTCTTACCAGATTAGTGAAGATGTATGTGTAATAGGCTGACACCATCCCTAGTTCAGCTGCCTGCAAAGCAAAGAGAAGGAGATTAGATAACAAAAACTCACTGGCAGCAGAAGAGCAGTGAGTGCTCCAAGGGGCTCCAGTTTCTCTGGGCCACCACCTGCAGCACCAGGCAGAGTAGGACATCTTTGTTAAGTCTTATACTACCCTTGATCTTGGAGGATGGAGCTCAGAAACACTGATCTCTAGAGCAGGTGCTTCTGCCTCCCCTCTACTCCCTACCCCTGCAAGGACACTCACAGTAGCTCATGTTCTCGTGCACAACACAGTCTCATGGGTATAATGGATATTATGGGAACCAAGATGGCTTCAAGAGAAATGAAGTAAATAAGAAAAGAGACTTAATTATTTCCACAACTGTTAACAAACAATATCAATGGCTGGCATTTACCCACTGTGCAGTGTGTGCCAGGCTCTATAAAGCATTCTACATGAATTAACCATATGAAGTAGACCCTATTATTCTTCCTCCACTCCCATGTTCCAGCCAAGGAAATGGACAGGACAACAGGCTAAGTCACACAAGGTCACATGACTCACACTGGAAAAAGATGAAATAAAAGCCAGCAGTTTAATCTCTGTGCTTTTAACCACGCTATATTCTCCTTGAGGACTATGGTGTCAGCGGAACTGCACACACACACACCTCCTTAGAGACTTGGCACAGATAAAAGAGTCTGTCAGCTATAGGCAATGCCCAAGTGAACTCTAGTCGTGGGGATGCAAGTGAGATTCATTCTGCATTTGCAGTAATATAGGAAACAAGTGAATCATTTGCAAACTTTGGTCGTTCACTTGTAACGAAGAGCAAGTTGCCTGTGACATGCTTCACCCGTGATCACAGCACAGGAACACGGTTGAGAACTGTGGCTTTTGAACAGGCTCCCTTTTGTCTGATCTCTGTACCTATCATAAATACCCCTGACCAACCTTCCTTGTCAGTGTGCCTGGCTTTGAGTGTGACAAGTGCTACAGAACCGACAAGTAGATCAGGTAAATAATGAGCCCGCTCTCTCCAGGGCCCTCATCCTGTCTGACAGTTGGTTAGATTTTCATAATATATCCAGCAGCTCCAGGCCACTGGGAGAGCATTCTTGTCATGACTGTTGAGGTCGATGGAGAGACAAGACCAGGGATGACTGCATTTCCTCTTACATAGAGTTTATCTCCCAAGGAACTCAAACAACTTTGTGAGCACTCTTCTAGGATCCCTTCTAGCCTCCTTGAGAAACAGACTAGGGATTCTATCACTGTATCCCGATGGGCAGCTGAAGTGCAGAAGGGCTTAGTGACAAGGACAAGATCACCCAGAGGCCAAAGCCTCTGTGGTAAGGCTCCTTCTTCTGCTAAGCAAAGCTACACTCCTCCTCTACTCACAAGACAAAGACACTCGTCCTCCATGCCCCACACACTCACATTGTCCATAGAGAAGGCAGCTGCCTCTCACACTGCCTCGACCCATGAGAGCCCACTGATGCAAGGGTGGGCTGGGGTGGGAGGGGCCACAATGGTTAAAATCCATTTTGTGAAATCTGCTGTCCTAAAGATAAAAGACAAGAGATTCTTGGTTTTAAAAACCTGAATTCAGGGTAAACATGGAGTTCGTTGCAGGAACAGCCGCTCAATAAAGTAGGGGATTACTCCATAAATCCTCCTGAAATCAAGAGATGGCAGAGCGCTGCCAAGCTAAGGGGCTTGCGCCTACGTGCACACAGAGGCTCCCAGAGCCCCTGGAGAGCCTGCACACTCACAGTTTCATACACTGAGTCCAACCTTGTGGAGGCCCCAAAGCCCCCAGGAACCCCCAGAGGGAGAAAAATGGAGCCCCAGGGACGCCTGAGGAGTGTGCAGATCTGCCTGCCTGGGGCCACTAGGACATCAGACAGGAATAAAGAAATGCGGCTTTGCTAAAGTCTTGCAGCTCATTGATCAGTTTAGCTCCAAAGACTCAGAAGCTGGGAGCAGAGAGGGGGCTCAGGAAAGATGGCCATAGGGCACCCAGCAGAACTGTCTGTTAGTGAGGGTCATTACAGGCAGAGTTCCCTTCCAAGCAGAGCTGCAGAAAAACAAAAGAAGAAAAGAAAAAGAAACAAGAACAAATCCATAAAGCATTCTTAACAGAAATTCTCAGTATTGGCAAGGGTGCAGTAAGAAACCTATAACCTGCTGCTGTGAGTGTAAACTGTGTCTGACTTCTAAAAGGCAATCTGGCAAATCATCCCCAAATCCTTACAAGTATGCATACCTTTAACCCGGAATTCTACTTCTAGAAATTTACACCAAGGAAATATTCATGAATCCGCATAAAGATTTATGTACAAAGATGTGCATCTCGGCACTATTTATTACAGCAAAAGATTGGAAACAACCTGTTTCTCCAACAATAAAAGGGTTGGTTAAATAAATTATGGGACATCTATATGATAGAAAATGATGCAGCCATTAAAATATTTGCAGAAAAATATTAAATGGCTGGGAGAAAATGCATGGCAGATAATTAAGTGAAGGAAAAAAGGCAATTTGCAGAGAAGTTTGTGTGGGGTGGTAATTTTGGGGAAGAGATGTCTAAAGCACAAAGGCTAGACATCAAAATTTAAGAGTGGGAAACTCTGGGTGATGGGATTGTGAATGATATTTATTTTCTTCCATGAGCCTTTGAAAGTAGAAACTTCAAAAATTGCAATAACTAACTGGTCACGTTACTGCAGTAGGGGAGCCCAACTTCGTATGGGAATCATGGAATAATCCTGTGAAAAGAGCTGATGCCCAAGGCTCCCACCCAGGGGCTGTTCAGGTAAACTCTGGCCATTTTCTGCAAGGGGGAAGGGACTTACCTACATCTACTAAGCTGAAATTCTCTCCCTATTCCCCACCTCGCCCAAGGATGACACTCAGCCCTTGAAACCTAGAGCAACTTTTCCATCCTTAATAACTCCACTGATGATAGACATAAGAGAATACAGAGAAAAAGGATGAAAAGAGAAAAAACGATGCCTCTGAGGTGTGTGTGGGGAGAGCTGGGTGTGACTGAGTTGAGTATACATGAAGACAGTCGTGGCTTTTGTGCAATGGAAATTACTATAGCAACAGGCTGAAGGGATGGCTCTCTACACTGAGAAGAACTCATCCAGGTCACTTATTAATTCTCAGACAAAAACTAGCAGAGAAGGGGAAGATGGGAAGGAAGGAGAAAGGGAGGCTGAGGAAAAGACAATCACCCAAGTGTCTACCAGGCTCCTTACAGCTTGGCAGAGGCTAACTAGGAGCCTTCCTCCCCCAGTGGATGATGGCAGGTTGTGTTTAAATGTGCAATTAAAATGGCAATAGAAGAAGCCAATGTGCCTGAGAGGTTGAGGGAGCTGCTGAGGAGCTGGGGAAGAGCCTAGAAGCAGAGCTTGCTCTCTCTGGGGTGGCAAATCTAGCCCAGGCTCCAGCCCAGCTGAGCAACTTACCCACTTCCCAGCTGTTTCCAGGGGTTTGTCCAGAGTGCAGCCAGCACTACCCCCACAACCCTCTCAACTCCCTACCCCTTGCCAGGCTTTGCTGAGCATTCTAGTTTGGAAGTGTCTATGTCCTGACTCCAGGCTGTGCCTGCTTTGTCTCTGGAGCACTGGAGAATTTGCCTGGCTTGCCGGTGGAGAGCTACACAGGCTCCACTTCTCACAGGGCTGGGCTTGGACAAATCTGCTCATTTCCCAGAGCCTCGGTTTGTTTGTCTGTAGGATGCAGACAGCATACCTACCTCTCATCATCACTGAGAGCACTATTTCAGGAAATGACAAAGAAGTGCTTTGTAAACTGCTGAACACAGCATCTGGATTAAAGACAAGGCTGACAGAAACACACACTGGTGTGAGTATCCTGGCTGCCAATATATGCAGCTACTTCTGTGGCATGGAGCAAGTAAGCTCCACCAGGAAACACAGGGAGAGGTTGGTCAGGGTCAAATCCTGCTCAGGGTTGAGGACAGACCTGGTTCAGAGATGCTTGAGGCAAGGCGGGTGGGAGAGAAGATGCTCTGCACCCGCCAGCACACCCCACCCCCTGCAGTTGGGTCCCACCTTCAGCAGAATGGTGTGGGACATGGAGGCGTTCGCATGGATGATGATGGTGGCTGTCTTGTCGTCCCGGATCTCTTTGAGGAGTGGGGTGGGGTCCCGGGTGTCATCCAGCATCCTGACAGAGAGTGTGTCCTTGGAGATCAGGAATTGCCGCAGCAGCTTCTCTAGGTTTAAAAGGCCTGGAGAAAGAGAGACAGGAGGAAGTGCCTGAGGGTCCACAGTGTTGCCTCAACAGACCCTGGAACCAAAAAGGATGCACAGGTGCTGGGGCTGGTACTGGGGTCTCAGACAGTGCTGAGGAGCCATAACATAATCTGAGCAGGTTTCCCGGCTCCCTGGGATTTCAGTTACCCCATCTACACTAAGAAGAAAGCTCAAAATGTCTTATCCTCTCCCTGAGTCACTGGGGAGCTCCCTTTTAAAGAAGAGCTTGAAGTTTCCCTCGTGAGGCAAGACAGTCACCACAGTGCACCCAGTGGCAAAGAACTGGGTTCAGAGACCACCAGGTCCAGGTTCCTTTCCCTACTTCCCTGACCCTTGCATGTTGCCTTGGTTTCCCCATCTCAGTAAGAGCTTTAACAGCAGTAGCTCTCAGGGAGGTGTGAACATTAAGTAAGGCAGCATGCAAAGAACTCAGGCACCTAGTAAACCCACAAAAATGTCCAGTAAGTCTCTAGAAAAGCCTTTGTTTTCATTTTAGAGGTGAGGGAGGAGGTTCCTCAAGATCCCAAAGCTCAGAAAACAGGTCTAGTGAACCTCTGAACTCCTCAGAGCTTCATGGCTGCATTAAGAGAAGGTATTATTATGATCATAAAAGAACAGGTTTTCAGCTACACTCCAGCAGGCAAGACTCACACAGTGAAAACGAGACTGTGCACTAATGCCATGCATTCTCTCCCTCCCCTCCTCCACCCCTGGTTACTTGCTGCCTGGAAGCTGCGGTGGGAGGAGTGGGCCCTGAATGATGCCACTGAGAGGAGAGGGTCTTCATGTGACCTTGGTTGTGGAAAGGCAGGCTAGGGAGAGTGTGTGCGTGCGTGTGTGCATGTGTCTGAAGGGTCACCTTCCAGGAAAGCAGCAGCCTCAACTCTGATAGAAGGAGGGTGGTAGGCATTTCCTCCCAAAGCAATGACATGAGTAACATTTATCAAACACTTGTTATGTTCCAGCTAATGCGCTAAAATTTTTACATGCCCTATCTCATGTAAATCTTTGCAGTGGTCCTCTAAATACTAAAGGCCCCAGAAGTAGGAGGCTGATAGGAGCTGGGGAGGTGAGTCACTCACCATACATGCTGTGGATTGTGGAACAAAGGCTAATTTCCAACCATTCAAAGGTTCCCAGGCTGCCAATTTCCACACTGGCTAGTAAAATCCCCAATTTGAAGGTGTCTCCATCCTTCTGATTCTCAAGGATCAAAAGATGATCGAGAGGGGACATTGAAGAACATCCACCTGCCTTCTCAGGTTACAGAGATGAAATGACTTTCCCGGCCACACAGAGACACAAGGACACAGCTGGGGCCAGAACTCACACTTTCTGATCTCCATCCCACTCTCTTTCCAGGAGACTATCTTGTCTCTTAGGACAAACTGAGCAGGGGGCAACAGGCTTAGTGACTGGAGAGGCCCAATGACACATCTGGGGACTTAGGGAAGGAAACTTTGTGTTTGGTGGCTTTTGCTGTTCTTGTGTTTTGTTTTAACAAGAAGAAGGACCAGCGTTGGAGAGGAAGAGCCTATCATGGGGTGACAGGAAGGAACACTGACCTTCCTGCACTGTTTTGAGAAAGCTTTCCAGGCAGCTGGCAGCTGTGGCAGGGAGGAAAGAAGCCCCAGGTGGGCCTGTTCTTTACAGAGGTTGCACAAAGAGTCATGCTGTGTGAGCCAGGAGATGGAGTTGGCCTTTCCTCTGTTCTAGGCAATATCTCTGCAGAGACTTGCAATCCTCACCTCTGTCTTTGCCCCTACAGCCCCTCCCCAAAGGACCCCATCTATAGTGGCCCTGATGCCTCGGGCACTTCTCAACCCTGAACCAGAAGGTCTGGATTCATGCTCAGAGTCAGCCCTCACAGGCTACATAATCTTGAGAGACCATCTAACACTCTGAGGCTCCATTTTTCATCTGTGAAGTTGATATATGAGGGTGAGAACCCCAAGACTGTGGGAAACATGCTGGGAACTGGTTCAGGCTGTCTGCATGTCATTGGTCCTGTATTTACTTATCTTCCAAGGAGCTCATGGGCAGGCGTAGAGAGGCAGCCTTCTCCACTGTCTGCTCAGCCACACTCACTCACTGACCCGTCCTGAACGCAAAGCCAAGCAGTGGACAGAGCAGATGGGCCGGATTCAGTTCCTGCCCTCAGGAGCTTGGAGTCCTTGGATACACAGCTAAATTCACAGCAAAGTTCAAATCATATTCCTATTTTCTCTGGCAGCCTGATATGTTCAGTCTCCTTTGGCCTATATTAAGTAGCGTATTCACTGCACCTTCCTCAGAGATGATGTCAAAAGCAACTCCTGCTTGGACAAAGGTCAAAGGGTCTGACTCAAAAGACACCAGAATCCAGGGGAGGCCACAGAGGCAGTGCTCCTGGGGCCTCTGCCATCTCCTGGGCATGCTGGGGTTGAAGCAGCAGCATACCTGGAGGGAGTAAACAAGAGAGGGGTGATGCGGTGAACCCCATGAGTCCTGGTGTGCAGTATGGAGAATCTTTGGACCCTAGCTGGGAAAGAGGCCAAAACCCCTGGGATTCTTCAAACTGGCAATGAAATTCAGTGGGACTATTCAAGCAAGCCCATGGGAGGACAGCAAGATTATGCTCAGCATGGTGATGACTGATGAAAGCATCCCAGGGACCCTTTATTCCTTAAAAACTTGAGGGTGTGATGCACTTCCACGAAAAGGGAGCTGCCCCACACATCTGATATCCTGGAGACTGTGCTCTAATCAACCCCAGCCTGCTACCTCCTTGGGGTGCTCTGTTGCCCTTTAAACAAGAACAGTGTAGTCCTCCATCCCATCTAGCACCCTGCTGTTCAAAGAGGCAGAGTAGGAGAGATCAGCAGCCAGTCCTGGGGGAGGTGTGCGGCCCACCCAGAACCACCTATCAGAGAGCCAGCCTTTTCCCCAACCTCTTTTCTTATACAACAAAGAAAAAGCACAATATCAGGACATGAATGCAACTCCAGCATTGCCAGGCAGGTATTGTGGCAACACAGCACTTTTGTGTTTATGTCTGTGAAATCTGAACTACTACACTGCCGGGAGATTGAAGGGGTGTTAAGGGGTGTTAAGGGCACCTGTCACCCAGAAGGGGCTCAACAAATCCTGTTTCCCATTCACTCCCAACCCCATCTCCTCCCTGGAAACATCTCTCCCTTCTCCAATCTTTACCCACAGCTCACTTCTCTAACTCTTACAGGATTTATTATCCATCCCCCCCAAATACAGCCCTTGGCTATAAACCATATAAAATATTTGATAACATGGAGATGCTTCTCAACTTACAATAGGGTTATGTCCTGAGAAACCTATTGTAGGCTGAAAATACCGTAAACTGAAAATGCACTCAACACACCTAACCTACTGCACATCCCAGCACACCAGAGAGTATGGGCTGATTCTCCTAATGACTGTGTGACTGTCTGGGGGCTGTGACTTGCTACCACTGCTCAGTGTCACAGGAGAGTATGAGACTGCATATTGCTAGCCACGGAAAAGATCCAAACGCAAAACTCCACGTCTGGTGTCTATTGAATGTGCATTGTTCTCGCACCATGGTGAAATGGAAAAACTAAGCCAAACCAAAATAAATTGAGGACCATTTGTAGACCTTTGTATGTATTATTTATGTGTGTGATTGGTCCATGAATTCTTTCAGTTTTGAATATCTCTGCATATCCTTCATACAGGCAAGGTGCACAGTGCTTGCTTGGCCTGCACTGAACTACAAACTGTGAAGGATTAAAAAGGCTCTGCATCCTAATCAACCAGGGGAGCAGCCGTGCCGGGCGAGGGCTGTCACCTTGTCACTAGGGGAGAGCTGAAGGAAGGGACACTGGCTGAGGAACCATGGGAAGAACAGTCCTAAGGCAGACTTGTCGTTGGCAGCCTCCAGGACAAAAGCCAGGAACAATGAGTGGATGGGAGTCACCGGAAACAGACTTCACCTCAGCATTGAAAAAGACCTTCTGTTTGAGCTGTTAAAGATGCAGTGGACTGCGCATGAAGTAGTGAGGTCCCCATCACTGGAGGTAGTCAAGTAGAGACTGAAGTCCCTCTTGAGGATTGTTGTAGAGGAAATTAAACCGTTGGGTGGAAAGTTGAATTAGAAAAACACTGATGTCTTTCCAGCCCAGAGATTCTCTAATTCTGTGAATTAGAAGAGGATGTTTTTTAATTGAAGACACAGGAAGGGATTTGCAGAAGAGAGAGTGTTGTTTAGCTATATTAAGAATATAAGGGATCTCAGTGCAGTTTGACCTTTTCCAACTGTCATTCTCCTCATCTCTGTTTAACGGAACTAAGGCGCTTACCAGGGGCAGGGGCCACCAGGGGTTAAAAATCTCCATTCTTCCAGCACCCCCCACCAAAACCCTCCTCTCCTGTGGGACTCAGGTTCAGCAGCAGGTCTCCTGCCAAGGCTGAGGCTGAGAGGACCTGGGGAAACGATTAGTCTCGCTCAGGATGCAGCAGGATGGATCGATGAGAGGCCCAGTAGGCCGGCTGTTCTGGGAGGAAGCAGGAGGCAGCCTTCTGGAAATGGAAGGCAGGGGCCCGGGAGGAGCCAGAGGGGGCTGGCTCGTCCATGCAAAGCTCAGCCAGAGCTGGACAGGGCTACAGGTCAGGGACACAAATACCTAAGGGTTGGGTCTCCAGGGGATGCACGGGACCCGTTTAAAAAATAAAAATAAACTTCTCTTTCAACAGACTGCCTTCTCTGTCTACGGCCTGATTCCCTTGGTGCAGGGTACTGGCTCTAGAAAATGCTCTTGATTCCCAGGAGGGGCAGCACCTTTAAACAATCAGCGAGGCAGCTGATGTCCAACTCATTTGAGAGGAGGGCAGTGAGGGTTTCATGAGACAATATGAGTCTAATGTGGTGCCCTGGGCCTCAGCCTGGAGAGTGCTCATCCCTCCCCCCGCCACACTTGGAGGCTCCCAAGCGTGGTTGTCA